CGGAGAAGAGAGAGAGAGAGAGAGAGAGAGAGAGAGAGAGAGAGAGAGAGAGAGAGAGAGAGAGAGAGAGAGAGAGAGAGAGTTCTATGCAAATATGCCAGGGGTCTGAGTTCTCACTTTCTATTGAAGAATCTTTAGTAATCTGCTAAGCTGATTGGTGAAGAAATGGTGGGTATTGGGTTATCGCTGCAGTGAGTATGTTCATCTGAAGAATCAGATCGAGTCAGAGCAATTTCCCTCGTTAACTGACGGTGGCCCTCCAAGATTTTTCCGAGACCTTGATAGCGAGCAGCAGAGCTCAAAACTGAAGGACCGGTTGAAGAAGTATTGCCAAAAGGTGAGTCTCACTTGCTCACGCCTGGAAGCGGTTAGCTCTCCTTGAAGATGATTCTTTTCTTTCTTTCTCATTTTCCTCTGTTTAAAGGTCATGCACTGCAGTGATCATTGTGCGTGCCGATCGATCTGACGTAAAAAATGTCCTGCATCATTGTTGTGTGGATGTATGTCACGAGTGTAAGTCTGTGACAATGTCAATCCGCTCACAGCGCCATCTTCTCTCAAGTGAAATTGTCTGTTGGATGGATTCCAAATGTGGGTGGTCTTCTGTGTCAGTGAGAGACATTAGCTCCAGATGAAGAAAAATGCATTGCCTGGTTTCGTCAGAACGGCTGTAGGTTGGTGTCATATTGACTGCGCCTGTGACCATGTGATCGTTTTGTTCGCACTTCGTCATGTGGTTTGGTTGTACGTTGATTGCTGTGCTGAATCTGCTGGAGGCAATTTTGCGCCGCCCAGCAGGCCCTCTGGCGCACAGTCCAAGGTGTTAGGTCGCACAAGCAACCAGCAGCGCTTCCGTAACCCAAGCTGCACTGTAGCAGCTATGAATAGTTGCTTGACTTGACCTCGGTTTGCTTCTGACCGGTACCGGTCGCCCGATGCCTGTCTACTGCATGAATTTTGGTGGCCCAGTACCTTCCGGACTTTTCCTGGGACGCTGGTGCAAAATTGGACTTCGGGCCTGGACTTTTGTTGTCGGGTCTGGTTGACTTACGACGGTTTGGCCTCCTACGGACCTAAGGACCCTAACGACCCTACCTGGGACGCACCTGCTGGGACAGATGCGACCGGGACCATCTGGGACTGGACAATTTGAGACCCTTGAATCGGGACTCGGGTGTCTGCAACGTGAAATCCTTTCATTTTATTTTATTTTCGTTTTTTTTTTTTTTTTTTTTTTTTTTTTTTTTTTTTTTTTTTTTTTTTTTTTTTTTTTTTTTTTTCCCTTTTGTGGTTTCTTTTTGTGCATAGCGGTGT